TTGTAAACATAAGTGTCTGACCGTGGTGTGTGAAGGTCAGCAGGTTGGTAACACAATTTGAGTTTTCATGTCTCAGAGAGGCGACGAGTCTCTAACATTCACGTCTCTGATCAGTGATTTCATCCTGGTCTCGTGATAACTGCAGCCTCACTGTCCTGTGTTTTAATAAACTTTAATAAACACCAGGGCAAGTTTGCATCATTTACACTACGACATATTCTTTATACATCTGCTAGCTCGTCTTCTCTTTCCCTGTAAGCTAGCTTTCTCCTGATTGGTCGACACTCACAAACAGAAGGTGGGTGGGGCTTCCTTCCTCATAGACAGCATGGCTCTCTGGTCTTTTAGTATATATTAGGCATACATGCATTTCTGTTCGTGTACGTGTTTGTGTACGCATAACTGATCCCCTTTTCCAAAGGTGCATTTTCACATTTTCTGTCACATGACCATATCAAAGATGGCTGACACATCAGATCCATGAGCGTATCAATACTCGCTGTGAATAAAAGCCTAAGTTATGGAGCACTCGAAACGGACTCTAGATCAGATCGCTCTGATATGGTCACCACAGCAGCACCATCGACACGCTGCTGTGGATAAACCCACTCCCTCACACTATAGTCCCTTTGTAGCTCCTTACAAACTGTTGGTTGGCCTGCCATGTTTATTCATACAGGTCCAGACTCGGGTCCAGACTCGGGTCCAGACTCGGGTCCAGACTCGGGTCCAGACTCGGGTCCGTTTTGAAAACGCTCTCCAAAGCAGATACATTTGAAGCGGTGCTTTCGTGTCGCAGTGTGGACGGCGAAAACTGAGACTTTTAGCAAACGATGACACATTTCAGTCATGTGATGCAGTCATGTGACCAATTAAACTAAGATAGTGAAGGGTATTATACTGCAGTTGTTTTGTTTGCTCTCAGTTTTGTCAGCCCTGTATTCTCACTCGCTTCTGCATCTTTGTACTTTTGTGTTACTCGCAGCAACAACTCCACCTCGTTGTGAGTCCATGTAAAAAACTCGCTGCTTTTCCTCGACATTTTGCCGCGACGTTTCAAAGAGCCGGAAAGCGAATAAGCAGCAGACAGGAATGAGACCGGCCTTCTTGCATGCGCAGGACTGGAACGTCAGCGTTTTGGGCCGTTTCAATGTGGACGCACAACTCTGAAAACAACAAAACGACAGCGTGGACGCTGAGCGTTTTCTGACGAAAACGCCGTTTTCAGACGAAAACGCCGTTTTCACATCTATCCGGGCCAGCGTGGACGCAGCCTCGGTTATTTTAATGAGGTTTTCGTACTGAAACTAAACTTTAGACTTGCATGTTTTAAAAAAGCTGCGCTGTTCGCTCACACAGTGAACCCTACCTGACCACTCACAGATCAATGAGCAGCCTGACAGCAGCAGAGCCGTTCATGGACAGACTTTGACTCAGCTCACCAGAATGAAACAATATTTTACTATTATTTTGATATTTTTAAGATGCAGTTTCACCCCAAACAAACACTTGATCGTCGTAGGGAGAAGAACGACATGTTGGCGTAACTAACCAGGACCTGCCTTGGTGCGTTCTGCAGGACCTCTGTGCCTGTAGAGGCTTAAACGCAGCCTCAGTGCAGATCTGATGCTGCCCCGTGTCTCAGTGGGAGGTACCAGGATATGACCTGGCACACAGACAGAGGGCACGTCTGTCTTCAGCTTATAAAAAATACCCGTCTGTAATTACAAGAGAGGCAGACAAACGCCTTCTCACGCAGGCACAAACACACACAAAGGCTTTTTAAGGACGATTTTGTCTCTGGAGCTCCATTCAGAGCAGCAGACAAGTTCAAGATGTCTACGGCGCTCCCGCGGCCCCCCTCTGCTCAGTTTAGGAAACAACAAACAATGCGGTTGCTACGGGGCCCCGTGAACCCCCCGAGAGAGACCGCATGTCAGCAGCAGTCTGGACAGCCAGCGGCCAGGCTGCAGACAGTTTGCAAGCAAACACGCAGATCGTGCAGTCGGTGCGCTGTGCTCCTCCTGCAGGACACACATAGAGACAGCCGGGAGTATCTGCAGCACCTCCTCTGCTGATAATCACACTCATGAAAGAGCTGCAGCCACTTTCTCTCTCACTGGAAGATCTGTGCTGTAAAAGTTTGACACTAATCATTAATGAATCTCTGGAATGAATAATTAGTTAATGAAAAATGCCTGACAGTCTTCCCAGCCCAGCGGGACTCTCTCACAGGTTTCATCCTTCACAAAGACGACTTTCTGTTAAATGAATCAAGAAGAATGTTTGTGCTTGTACACATTTAGGAATCACATTGACAATTATTCAAATGCAAAGCTACCCTGGATAAGCTCTGAGGATTCGGTCCTTGTTCAAGGGAAGCTCCTGCAGATGGAGGCCAGCGGAGACACTGAACCTCTCACAGTTATTGCTGCTCACTCATCTCCACGTCTGCAAGGACCACGGAAATTAGACTGTTCAGGAAATTCATATGAAACAAGTGAGCTGGTTTGTTCAGCCTGTAGAGGTTTAATGCAGTCCCAGTGTTACACCATCAGCTGATGAGCTAACGAGTTCATTACTAGAGTGCGTCTGTCATCACAGTTTGTGACTTTAGGCCTTTGAAAAGTCTTAAATTAAAGCTACTGAATTAAAAAAAGAGGATTACAAGATGAAAACCGTAAAAGGATCTGTCAGGATTATCAGCAACTAACAAACACGAATCAGCTGACACAGTGCATCCATAAGCTGTTTTTTAAAGACCGCTGAGTAACAGCGCATCATCCCCGTGAGGTCCTGACTCACCAGCCTCTCCATCTCCTGCTCGCGGAGCCTCTCCTCTCGCTGTCGGCGGTGGTACTCCAGCAGGTCGTCCTCGTTGTCGCTGATCTCTGTGATGCTGTTCTTCCTCTCCCTCATGCCGGGGTGCGGTCTCCCTGCAGACATCTTCCTGTGGGTCCTTGGGCTGGCTACAGGAGAGGAACCCGGCAACGAGCCCAGACTGTAAGCAGGCGACAAGGAATTCCCGAAGCTCGCTTTCCGTACCCCTGCACCCCCGACGCTGCCCTCCGTCAACAACGAGGTAGGTGATGGGCTGCGAGCTCGGATGCCTCTGCTGCAAATCTGCTCCTCCGACTTGCGCCGAAGTCTGGGGCTCTCGGGAACGACCTTGCCCAGACTTGAGGGGCTGTCCAGAGTCCTCAGTGGGTTCACCGTGCCCGGAAGTGCCCCTGGGAGAACTGGAACCCCTCTGCGAACCAAGGAGGGGCTTAAAGGTGGCAGCTCTCTCATACTGCTGCTGGCGCCACCGCCCCCGTTCACCTCCACGTTCCTCCGGGCCAAGCGAGGGCTTTCCGGGGGCTGCAACGAGCGCGGGTGCTGCTGGAGAGGTGATCCTTGGATTATGTGGACGATGGGGTCCAGGGGAGGCTGGAACGCTCGGGTGGGTTGAGAAAGCTGCCTGGAGGGGCTGGAAGTAAGCGAGCGATCGGCCAGAGGGGCGTGCTCTCTGAAGGGGCTGGCAGGTCTTTCTTGGAGCACTGTGGTAGTCTTGGTCCTGGGGCTGGAGGGCGACGGGGATGAACAGGTTGGGAACTTGGGTGTGAGCCTGGGGCTACTTGGCACAGCGTTTCTACCGCTAAGAGATTCACTGGAGGACAGAAGGGGGGTCTGCCGAGGGCTCTCAGACCCATCTTGGCCCAGTCCCGTGTGGCTTGGCTTGGGGCTTGGAGGAGCCTCCGTTAAGACCTTTCGCGGCAACCTGGGGCTTTCCTGAACCTTTAGGCTCACCCCACTGCTGCTGAAGTTAGGCAGTATGGTCCGTGGCTGGGGCACCGGCGGAGGCTGGGCGGTGAAGTTGTAGCTAGAGGAGCGTACAGGCACTGGCGGCAGAGAAGAACTCTGGTCCTGGGGTCCTCCGCTAGGAGATGGACTGGTAAAGCTTCCACTGCTGGCTGCTGAGGGGGAGGACAGAGGGGAAAAAGGAGGAGATGTGTTCTCATAGCTGGACCCCACAGACATGGCCCCTGGGCTGGTAGGAGGCGATAACAGATACCGCCCCCCTCCGTTGACCATGGGGGACAGAGGAGAGTGAGCTGCGGACTGGCCTCCGGGAGGCTTCATGGCGTCCGATGAAGAAGGCTGAGGGTCATCCATGACTAGAGAATCCATGATCTCCTGGAGGTCCCTCTCAATAGAGCTGACGATGGCGCTGTGCTCGGATTGGACTCTCTCTCCAGGAGCTGGGGGACACTGGGCCGGACTGGGCTGGTGATTCCCATTGACCA